ATTACAACATTTTATTTCTTTTCTTTCAATAATTATCCTTCCCATTTAACATCCACATTTAACAAAAAATCTAAAGGAAATTAACATATCTAAATAAAAGTTAAGTTTTTTGGATGATATCATTTCATAAAGACAGGGAGCAAGGATTTAGGGCTTAGTTTTAGCCAAATGTAGACTTCTTACATATGCTGGGCTTGAGGATACATACTCAATTATCATCTTAAATAAGGTCTACACAGCTAACTTCTACACTCTGAAAAATATCTTACTTTTTGGGTATTCTGCATTGTTTATGCAGTGACAGGAGTTGAAAACAAATTTTAAAAAAAATAAGCATCAGTATTTGCCTTCCCTTGTTACTTACAACCCTGAGACTTTCCTTCTAGCTTCATCTCAGGGCCAATCTGAGCATAAATGTCTCCTGGAAATAGCGCACTTCACAAATGTTACTTCAATAACCATTAATAAACTGAGACATAGTCTGAAATAGCAACCTGGATTCTCTACCTTTGCCTAACTTTGGCTCCTTCATCTTCTCTGCTGTTTGTGGTTTAAAGGACAGGGAAAATGGCTTAGCTACTTTCTGCCAAATTGAGAGGAAGTGAAAAACTCTGTTTTCACACCAATTGAAAATTTTATTTTAAATTAAGCATTGAATTGCAGTTGATCAAGACCATGCCAGGTGTAGGGAGCAGGAATGGCCACTGAGCAGGTTTTCTAGGATCCCATGCAGACGGGGTAAAGGAGGAGTTCTGGAGACCTCAGGGGTTTTGCAGGTCTTTTATTGGGGTTCACCAGGCATATGGCAGGCAGGGGTGCTGGGGGGCCGGGAGGCTGGCAGGCCTTCACTCTGGGCTCTCCGGCCTTCTCTCAGCTTCTGCTTCTCTTGCTTCTCTCTCGGCTTCTCTTTTGGCTTCTACTGGCGTCCCCATGATACCACCCTTAAAAAGCACAGTCTTAGCCCAGGTGAATCCCATCTACCTATGCCCACACCCTATTCCAGGTGCCTGCCATCAGGCATGCATTCAGGACCGCAAGGATCCATCATCTATCCTGATGGTGGGAGGGCAGAAAAGCCTGACATTTTTCCTTGCCAACACCAGGTTTCGATTAGTTTAACATAACCACTTAATGATTGCTCCAATAGGTCACATCCCATTTTTGTACTTTCTAGGTGCTATTATGAAATACTGTGCCCTTCAACCATTCAGGCAACTCTGTGGGGTAGGCAGGGTGGGGGCTGTTGAAGGAAACATTTCAAAAGTAGTAAGTGATTCATCCCAGAGTGGATCTGTCCATACCTGGAGCTATACAGTGTTACTCACCATCCACATTGAAAACTGACTACCGTATTCCTGGGCTAGATTATACACTTAACATCCCGTTCATATGTTACAAATTCTCTTCCAGAGGCTACAGCTGACAGATATGTTGGCCTAAACATGGATGTTCTAATAGGCTTGGTGTTCCTCACCTAGTATCACTGGTATATCAAGAAAATTTTCTGACTTTCCCAAAATCTCACAAGTACCCCGAATCTCAAAGGGCTGGACTTAGCACGCATAGATGACATGGAGTCCATTGTGCTTGATTGTTCCATCCCCAGCACACACACAGATAAACCCTACCCAACAGCAAAAAAGAAGGTAAAATAATGAGGACCAGAGCTTATAAATTTCCATTCTGCTTAATACCTGATTTCATGTAGTTAATGAATTCATTTATTAGAGCAATTTCTGTAAATCCCTAAGGCCTGCTAAGTCTGCTGCCTAATGGTGTTATCATGTCACAGACTTCCTTTATCCCTTTCCTTTAACAAATAGTAAAATAAATGGGCAAGGAACTCTGGAACTGCTTGAACTATAGGTAAATAGTAAATAAAGCAAGGTAGGGCCAAGCTTTTCATACTTCTGAGGAACTGTGGACCTCTGGCTGAGGTCATTTCACCAAGAAGAGCCCCCACTGATGAAGTTCCAGCAGCACAGGGAATGCAAGCATAAGGCTAATCTCTGGCCAGAGCTGGGGCCTCCAACCTCAGCCAGTCTTTTGATGCATCTGTTCCTATTCACCTCAATGAGATGAAAGCAAGAATGCAAACGGATAGAGCCAAATTCATATCCAACACTTGGAAAAACACTTAATGGAGACACCCTGCTGCTAATGCTGGGTCTAGAACATTCAATTGCTTAACATTCAATTGCTGCCCAATCAGGGACACACAAGGACTTCCATCTGAGAAAACACAGTAACAAACAAACAAAAAAAAAAAATTCTCCCCCCACAAAAGATTGATAATACAAATGGTAATGTGTACAGTTAAATGTCTTCTGTACCAGATTAAGTATGTCACTCAGTAAATAATTAGGAAAAAAATATTAATTATGTCTTACTTGTTAAGGAAAGGTACCTGGTCATTGCAGTGTGCTTGGGGAGAGGTAAGGATAAAGATGCCCTTGTTTCAAATTGCTGAACTGCTTAACAGCAGAAGGGCTCCACAGCTGGTGGAGTGAGGAAATGGAGTGAAAGGGAGATGGAGAGGCTGAGTGCGAAAGGGCTGAGTAGAGAGACAGGAGAAAGTAAGAAAAACAGGGGTGGACACAGAGAGATTAAGAGGCTTGTGAGTGAAGGGAAAGAGTTTGAAAGATTTTGGGTTTGAGGATTTTGGAAGGAAATACAATGTGCTATAAGGTAAACTCTGCAGTCTTCCCTAGGAACTGACATAAACAAATTTAATTTCCTGTTGCTGTATTATGTGAAAATAGCTGTATGATATTACTTTAAATATGGTTTATATGGTATATACAACATTCTCGTGGTGGGTCCTTGGAGGGACTTGAAACCACAGCTGAAACTGGGGACAGAGGCTGGCCCACATGGCTGAAGATTGGGAGAGATGTATTGTACAAAAATATTAAAATGCCCAAACCAAAGGAAACAGAGGCTTCCAACATGAACCCCAATTCTGAAGTCACCAGGAAATTATCCAAATGTATCACAGATTTGCTTTCTACATGAGCCACTCCACAAGGCTCTGGTGAGGGAGGAAGATGGAGGGAAGGAAGGAATAAGGAAAGGGGGGGAGAGGGGAGGAGGGATGGATGGTTAGGGTGGGGAATGCATGAAGTAAGCTCGCCTTCTGTGGGGCTCACAGTGCTCCTTAACACCTGGGGATGTGGGTTTCTTGGGGAATGAGGACATGACTGGAAGGTCAGCCAGGGGCTAAGACTGCTGGTGGTGATACCCAGTATCTGGGTCACAAAGGAAAACACATTGAATTATTAGTTCATGGGGACAGATGTATGAATCAGGCAATGTATTAAAAAAAAAAAAAAACACTTCCAGTAATAATAGTGCAATATCAGTGCAGTCACTTAACTTTTTTTGGTGATTAAAGGAAGGTTGCGACTTTGTTACCATGGACCCCATTAGAGGCTCAGTTACACCACTTACTAGTTATTCACCTTGGACAGGCCCATTAAACCTAAGCTGTGGTTTCATTTTATAAAAACATGGGGATAACATTGGTGCCTGCCTCAAAGAGTTAGGGTGAGAATTCCGTAAGTTAACCTATAGCCCAGAATATGTTCATGATGATGATCATCAGTTACTATAACGACACTTGATAATCAGTGTGTCTAGCTAGCCCCTACTCATGTTTATAAGATAATGTTTCCAAGTTCGTTTCCCGGTCTCTTTTTTCCCTCTTTTTTTTATGGTCCATATAGTCATCAGCACTTCATTCACCTATATGGTGGGTAGATGTAAGTAGGTGCTTTAAAATTCAGTTTGTCGACTTTGCTTTTTACTCATTAGAGGTGTGATTAATGTATTTTTAAACCAGTGATATAAATTTCCACACAGTGGGTACATACAACATTGGAGGATAAACAAATGAAATATGGTGATTTCGGTATCATAAGAAGTATGTCTCATTAGAAAATAATAGCATGAAATTGGCCTTTCTACCAGTGACAGAGCACTGAAGGTGTCTCTATGTGTGAGGTGGCGTGGAAGCAACCAGTCACTGGCACATCCTTCGTGACCATGTGCCCCATGACATTTCCTCTTACACAGTGTTTGCCCTTTAAAAGCCCCAGTTCAGGGCCTCCCTGGTGGCACAGGGGGTTAAGACGCAACCTATGAAACTGTCCACAGCCTCTGCAGTACGAGTTCGATCCCCTGCTGGCCAGGGAGCTACCCACATGGCGCAGCAGACCTCTCCTGTCTCGCCCGCTGTTCCTCTCAGCAGTGTATTTCCAGTCAGTCTGCCTGTTCTATTCCCCACTCTTTCTCTGGTGAATCCTCTCATGCCCCACACCTCTGGCCTGTACCCAGTTCTTGTATGCATAAATAAATTCTTTTATAAATAAATAAATAAATAAATGCCCCAGTTTACACTGCTACCTGCCCTGTTCCCACCAGCAAGGCCAAGATTTCCTTTGCACATAGCCACCAGCCGTCTCTATTGCAGGAAGCTAGAAAGGCCTCCTGTGCCTCCTTCTTACAGGTCCAGGATGCCCAGGCTACCTGAGCAATCCGCTGCCCACGCACTGAGTCCCTGGTAATGGCAGTGGGCGAAAGAGGGCAAAACCTCAGTGCCGGCCTCACAGCCTTTGTGGGTTTCAGCCAGATCCTGAGTGTTATTTTAGAGCAACTTCACTGTTTAATTTGAGGATATGTGTGGATTCAAAGGATGGGCCAAAACATTTCTCCCCTTTGGCCAAATGATTACATTTGAAGTTCTAAAAAAAATGTACAGCTTGCTTCAAAGCTGTGCCCAATGGGGAAGATAGAAATACCCTGAAAACCCTCCCCTCAGGAACCAGCTTCCCTTAACCACTGGCCACCACAAGGCCCATTTGCCGTGGCCATCACTTGGGCAGTCTGTGGTTACCAATCAACCAGGAGCCCTGTGACCTGAACCTTTCCTTCCCTCCTTGAAAGTATATGCTGCACCTTTGCCGGGAGAACATTCTACAGGTTTGTTTAATTTCTTACAGTCTCGGAAGCACCATAACCAGTAGCAGCTAAGCCATGGCTGAAGGGGAAATCACAACCTTCACCGCCCTGACTGAGAAGTTTAATCTGCCGCTGGGGAATTACAAGAAGCCCAAGCTTCTCTACTGCAGCAACGGGGGCCACTTCCTGAGAATCCTTCCAGACGGCACAGTGGACGGGACAAGGGACAGGAGCGACCAGCACAGTAAGCACAGTCCTTCTTGCATCCTCTCACCTTTCTGGAGTCTTCCTTAGTTAAGGGCAGAGAAGGGAGAACATCAAGTACTGGCACCCCCCTCCTCCAAGATTCTATTCAGACACACTCAGAGGAAGGGGTAACATAAACGTGTAAAGGGTCTGGGTGTGGCAAACAAGGAGCTGTAAGGCTCCAGCCCACCAGAAGGGGTCCAATTTCAAGATTATAAAAGGACCCTCTGTTGACCTAACACAACTGCTTTGAGATTCGACGTAGCTGCCAGTATTCAATGGCTGTGCATCTGCCTAGGTTTCTGTAACTAGAGAGAGGTCTGGCCCCCAAGTCTGGCCAAGGTCCTGCTTGCTCCATGAACCACATGGGGCAGGGGCAGTAAAACCTGCACAAAGATGGGGCCTCAGTTTCAAGTTAACTGACTCTGCGGGTTATGTTTCTACTGAGTTTGATTTGCGAAATTCTCATTCATAATCACAGTCTTGCACGTCATAAATTATGCAGCTTGCTTGCTCTCTTTGCGTATCATGCAGATGTGGTTGTGGTAACCAGGAGGGGTAAAGTCATTCTCCAGACCTTACAGAAACTGGAGAGCCAGAGTAATTCAAGCCAAAAGCTGACTCCTCTTCCAGGAGCTCCTGCCAGCCCTGCTCTCACATGGTGCTGATAAATGGAGATATGACTTTAAAGAAAAGAAAGAACAGAAATGTCTTCCTTCTGCTGGAGCACTTTTGGCACTGGTGTGCATGTTGAATGTTAGTGTCTGGGTCTACTGCTATGCTAGCGGGGATGACCTGAGCAATGAGGTTTTAAATGTTAGAGAGAAGACAAAAATCAACGCTATTCCCTGCTAAGGGGTTCAGTGATCTAAAAGGGCCAACATGACATGCCATGAATCAAGAGATGGAAATTGGGGATGAAATGAGGAAACATCGAACAGCACAGGTAGGAAGTAAGGTTCTGTAGATAGTCCCTAAAACAGAATGCAAAACACTGATCTTGGTTTATTTATCAGATAATAGTAATTATTTGTGGAATCTGCACCAAAGGTTGCAGACTCTAAGCAGGAATGACACCTCGTGGTGCTCATGCTGTACCCTCTGGTTCATGGGTAATGTGGGGAGGGGAAAACCTGGTTTTGATGGGCCAGGTGACATGATCCCTTCTGTCCCTCTCCCCATGCAGACCACTGAGATGAGGAGCAGGAAGGCTGATGTTGGGCTGCCGGGGTAGGTTGGGTGGAGGGACTTCCCAAACAATACAAGGGAAGAATGCTTTTGTTATCTGGGGTTTTAATAAGTTTGCCAATTTTCTCAATCAATGGGAATGCTCTCAGGGAATGAGACTCTCAAGGGAAAGATAATCCTGGTAATGTGTTCCTCAGGGTTAAGCTGTTTTTTCTGGGAAACTTTGAATTCTAGGGTAGCAGGAGGCTACAATGATAATTTCCAAGTGCTAGAATTTCAGTAAGAGTGGCTATCACTTCATTGTTGGCATACCCTCATTAACACTGAATTGTGCTGGGACCCAGCTGCCGAAGGTGTCAGGAGCTCCTGGAGAGTGACGCCAGGCAGCCATAGGAGTGAGCAAGAAGAGGTCTATGTCCATGTAATGCTGGAGTGACTCTTTGCCAAGTGAACTTGGACCAATTACTTAACCTTTCTGGTTTCATAATAACCATCACTTGCCGCAGTTTTCTTGGGAACATTAAATGAGATAATGTAGTGAAAGTTCCTGGCTCACTGCCTGCCTCAGTAACAGCTCTCAGCACATCTTGGTTAATATAGGTGCCTCTGTCACAAGATTTCCATCCATTCAACCCTGCAAATATCAATAGAAATACACTCTCATACTTATGAACCATCCCAGACTCAGCTCTTCTATTAAACTGCCCTCCAGGAAGGCCAAGGGCCTAGATTTAGATTTTGATTCAATGCCTCTCTGCCAATATTCAGAATTGTTATATTGGCCTATTTATTTACTCTGGACTAAGAATGAAGGTGAAGGAGGACAGAAATCAAAGTGGGGTGGTTAGTAAGCAGAAATCTACCTCTATACCTATCACTGCCAAGAGAACTGGGTAATTCATATACCCTCTGCAGTGTCAGGGTCCCTAGAGTCAGAAAGCTTGAGTTCATATTCCTACTCTGCCCCTTTCTAACTGGGGCAGCACTGGACAATTACCAGCCTCTCTACATAAAGAGCTCTGCAAAAGCCCTATTAGCCTTCGCTCCATACCCTCCCAATCCAAGAAATCCTCCATCTCCCGTCTAGAAATGTAAATGTCTGCAGAGTCCCCAGCTGTCTTATCTTGAGAAAAATAATGAAGGTTGGTTTCCTCACCTGTGGGATGGGAGTAACAACACTGCCTGTGTGCCTGACAATGCTGAAAACTTCTAAAATGCTTCAGGAGAGGGGAGCCGCTGGCAGGGATGCAGCACTGAATGTGGCTTCTGCCGCCCTCTTCTGCCCAACAGTGGTACTGCCACAGCCCTTCTGCATTTCAAGGGTTATTCAGAAACAGATCAACCTAGACAGGTATGGGGAGGATGATTCCTGACTGATCAGCACGTCTGGCCAAGGGGATGGTTTTATCCCTTGGTCATTTGTTTGAATATGACTAGAGAGTGGTGACAGGTAGAGAGCCATCCTCTTAAGACTTCCTTCAAGAAGAATATTTGAGTCAATCTACTATATAATATTTAAATAAATCTACGTAAAGATAGAACTGTATGCCTTCCAGTTTTATGAGGCCAAAAATGACTCCCCTCATAGCTTTCTGTCCCCAACTAAATGATCTGTCCTGGTAAAATTGCAAAGTTTTCAAAACTTGTCTATTCTCTACCTCCGGGAGAATAAATTTCCAAGCGCCTATCACTAGGCCTTTCTGTGATGGATATCTGCATACCAGCCACGGTAAAGTGGGCTTCACTAGGCCTTTCTGTGATGGATATCTGCATACCAGCCACGGTAAAGTGGGCTTGAGTAAAATGTCTCTACTGGTGGGAATTTCTGGCCTGCAGAGAAAGTATTTTTAGTTTGTCCTCTGACAGCTCCTTCAACCGCGGCTATCAGTGATTATCAATACAGGCTGTGTGCATCTGTCACGCTGCCTTACCCGAGTGTCAGGCAAAAGCAGACAGTGAGAGCTGTGGACGGCCAGAGGGAGCAACGGGTGTGGGCTGTGCAGAGATGCATGCTGACTCCTGGGCCTTTACTTTGGGAAACAGATAAATGGGGGAGTCATCATGAGAGGGTGCATCCTGAAAGAGGACTAGATGGTTCTACTTCAGACATAGTGTTTGAAGAGCACCTCATGTACTGGGAAGCTCTCCTTGGAGTGACATTTGTGTGATGATTTAATGATTTTCTCACTCACCCAGTTCCCTGAGGATGGGAAATTTTTTTTTTTTTTTTTTTTTAATAGAGGCATGTTTTATTTATTTGTTTGTTTGTTTATACAAGCACTGGGTACAGTCAGAAGCGCGGGAGGGTGAGAGAATTCACCAGAGCCAGAGCAGGGAGCAGGCAGAAGGACCGAAGTACACTGCTGAGGGGAGCAGCGGGCGGCAGGAGAGGTCTGCGCGCCATGTGGGACCCTCCTCTGGTGACCGGGGAGCAGCCGGGGATCGAACCGGCGCGGCAGAGGCCGCGGGCAGCTTCGCAACCCAGCGCTCAACCGCTGCGCCACCGGGGAAGCCCTGAGGATGGGAAATTTATCTCTTATAGCTGAACACTGCAAATTTTGTGCCCAGCACACTGCCTGGCACTTAGTCTAATGCCTAATAAACATTAATTTGATGAGTGAATGAACTGTATTGACGGTGGATAAATTCAAGCTCAACAATATAGTCAGTAAATATCTACCATGCACCTGAGGTGTGCCAGGCATCGTGTTAGACTCTCATTTCCGTCTAGCCACAACCCCCTGAGGTTATTAATTATCATCACTCTAAGAACACTGAGTTAAGAGGGCCTGGGACCAGCTAGTAATAGGGAAGATTGGCACAGACCCATAGCATCTTCTTCCAAGACTTAAGCTCTTTCCAAATCCCAGTAATGCCCATGGGAGCAACACCCCAAACTGATTAAATAAACGCTGGATTCACACATCTGTCATGTGGATCTGGGGGTGTCAACACAAGTCCCGTCACTGCTGTTTACTAGTCCCATGTCACCACAGAAAAGTTGCTTCTCCTCCACATGCCTCAAGGAGCTCATTTTAAAATCAAAGATGACAACAGTAGCCACCTCAGAGGAAAGCAGGAATGTTAAGTGCAGTGTTTGTAAAAGCGTTTAACATTCTGCCTGGCATATAAATGCTCAGAAAATGGTATTTAGCACGTCATCAGCAGTAGCAGCAGCACCCCTAGGCTTATGTGGCCTTCCTCCTCCAACCATCTGATCTCTGGGGTCTGTTAAGTTAAATGAAAGCTATGCTTGCTCACTGACTGAAGGTGACTCTTCAGCTCAGGTCTCTGGGGCTGCCCAGGCTTGGCGCTCTCAGGCTGGCATGGAGTATAGTGTACCTGGGCATGGGCCCAGCAAATCCTGCCTGTCCAACCTCTCTGCAAAGCAAGTTGTCTTGGGCAAGGCACAGAGATCCATGTTTAATTCCATTCTTTCTGCCGGAGCTTCCTATCTGGTGAAAGGAGTCTGACTTATTCCTCAACTGTATTAATAAATGAACAATAATTGGAAAATAATAAGCTCACCAGCATTCCAAACCTGCAGCCCCTCCTAAACCCACATCCCCTTACCTCCCCAGTCTCGTAAGCGGCTGCGCAGGGAGCAGGATTACTGGCACCGCTCGCCACACAAATGGAAATGTTCCTGAGCAATCAAATATTTATAAATCAAACCACATCCTAAAGGCACTAGGGAGTGCACTGGTCAAAGAATCTTACTTTGCTGCCTTTTATACAGAGCAAGCTCCTCTTCAGTGAAATCCCTCGTTCCCTTGATTTTGGGCAGTTCAAACTTCTATTCTCTGGTTT